TACTTCACTTAAGATGGAAGTGAGCTCAACAATGAATGAAGATGCTCTTCATCGGCTCTTAATCATATTCACTATTCACAGTACATCAACTCCATGCGAATAGGATTTAGGACGATTTTTAACTGAGAAGACAGGGACAACATTTAGAGTCAGCCGAGTCAGCATTAGATTCTGAAATTTCAAGTGATGGCGCCGATGCAAACTAGACCCTCCTGTCAACAAACTAGACAACATAAGTTAATTCACTCCCCCAAATCCCTTGCCCACCTTTTTTTGTCTATCAAATCACGTTCACACCCTCATAAAAACATGCAACCACCTGTCTCCAAATCTTATCACTTTTCGTCAATTCATTCATTTTTGAGAGCATACGTGCTTCTGAAAGCAAATAAACTTCACAGCCCTAATTATTGAGAAGTGAACACAATTGTTAAACTATTTAATAGTAATCTTATTTCCTTTCAACAAAAGCTCATTCCTTACAGTATTTGCGAGGTTAGGCAAGCAGACGTTGACAGTTAAAAATATTGAAAAATCACGTATTATCCAAAATTATGACATCAAAAATTGAACATAAATAGGCCTAGATAATGTCACAAAGAAGAAAAGATTTTCAAAACAACGGCAGCTGTTATTAACTCTTTTTAGTCATAAAATGTTCAGTACAAGAGTTGATGGAATAAACAGTTATGCTGATGCGTTAAAGATCAGGAGCTACTTGCGCATCGTGATTTTTGCTTTGTCTTGTTCATGCACGTTGAATCTAATTAGGCATTTTTGTTAGTTTTGTAAAAAAAAAGCTCTAGTCAGCCCAGGTAGCTGAAGGCGACGAAGGAATGATAGTGAATTTTCCCACAATGCCATGAGTAGGCGCCAAGTTGCCATTTAATTTCACTTAAACTTGTTTCACAAAAAGATATTTTTCTTCAGGACTGGACTGGACTGGACTGGAATAGACTGGATTAGGCCCGAGTCGACCGTAGTACTGACGTCATCTGGGTCTGATCGTCACTTCCAGGGTAACCGAATCTAGCTTGTGGTTATGCAACTTATTTTTTCAACATTTTACGGCTACGCTAGATTGCTGCTAGTATCAGTCGGTCATAGGGCAGAAGTGAATTTCAAGACAAGCTAGGCCTACATATCACATTTGTTTAGTAGGAAAATTCAAGAACACTCCTTCCTCACCTTAAAAGATTTATAGTATCGAAAGCTCTTGTTCACAATCTACCTATAATCTCGGAATCCTAACTCTCGGTTACCAGATTGGTGATAGACACTGCATCCTTTAGAGCCAATCATGCAAGAGAGAGTTTGCTGCCTTTACCTTGTATTTGTAGAAAAAAAACTGGTTTTAGAGAAATATTTTGGTATTTTGGTGTTGACTTTACTCGCATTTCGTGTGAAATTGTAGTAAAGAGGATTCTTAGGCCAAACTCATCAGAAAAAGAAGGTAGGTTCGACCCGCCTTCTCAAACGAAGTGAGAGGTACACCAGGTTCATTTTAGTCGATTGTCGTTTGACTTCGATTAGGGATTATAAGCAAAATGAGTTGACCTATTGTCCGGTCTAACAGAGTTCAGATGTCCTTTGGATCGGTATTTACAACCTATTCACACAAGTAAGCTCATGATCAACAATCTCATGTCTCAGTTCGTGAAGATGCACCCACACGTTTATAAACCCTTCGTACTATGTTACCTGTAATGACATTTCACCAACCTCTTTTTTGAATGGGTGAGATGAAGGAATTTGTAGTGCAGTTTCATCGGAAGGTGTGCCGAGGGCTTATTCGAATAAATATATAATCACAATTACAAGACAACCCTGCTCTTGGTAAGACCAACTTAGGGCCTATGTCTAGACGAATTATCGAAAGGGTTAATTGCTACAATAAATCGTAGCTATCAAGAGACTTTTATAAGCCTAGTTTATATTTATATTCACTAACCTTTGCTTCTCTGCCTACGGTCACTAAGGCTCTGCGACTTCGAGAGAGGCCCTAGTTTCAACTGAGTCTGCAAACGGTTAGTGAGCTCGCCCAACCCGCCTGACAGTAATCCTTTTGCCTGTTTCTCCGAAAGTAGTTTGGTGTTCTTCCGTCCAGTTCTGCTCCTCGTTCCCGACTCGACGCCATCATCCTCGTATTCCCGCAGCGCTACTCCCAGCTCCAGACGATCCGCGGCCTCGTAGACACCGGCATGATGCTCTGTCTGAGAAGTGTTTTGGCTCTTTGAATAGCCGGACTCATGTTGCCACTGATCAACGTATGGGTGACACTGAAGAGGTATTGTGGCCTCTGGAATACCTCCACAGAGACGGAGACACTTGGCATGGAGTGGAGAACATGCGGATAGAGAAGGAAATAGACTCAAAGTCAGTCCAGTTTGAAGAGTTGCAGAAGGAGTGGAAACATGATCGAAATCGTGTTGGATGGCACCGAGTTCTGCTTCAGACGAAGAGGCGACGAAGCGACGAAGCTTGCGTTTGGGTGTTGGTGAATCGGGCCATACTCTGGCTAGATGTTGGTCAAGGATACGATTGGGCGATTCGTAAGTGTCGACCAAACAGCGATTGAATAATTTGCTTGCCCATGGAAACATCTGGAGCCGAGGGTGTAGGCCGGACAGCTTTGAGACTTCACTCAACGGTAAGTCAGATGTACAATACCAGGAGGCCTATAATGGCAAATGCGATGGAAAAGGGAATAAATTCAATTGCTGTGTGAAGATATGAAGACCAAGATGTTGTAGCCTCTGGTATGATCGCAGTCTCCTTTCGATTTATAGAAGTGGGTTGACCTCGTCGCAACTTAGTCTTGTTGTCAGGGGATCTTAGTAGTTGTCATGATTCCCAGCATCAGACAGTCGACTTGGTACATTCTCAAACGTTTCACCGACATCGTAGTCGGCATCATCAGTGAGTGGAATGTAAACAAGTCAGAAGGTGTGAAATAGCGGCAGTAGGATAAGAGTGTAAAGAGTAGATAGATAGGCCAGGACAGAAAGAGGAGTGATAGTGTAACCGTTTTCGGC